ATAGGGTATATTAATCCAGTTGAGCCTAGTGTCTATTTCTATATTGCTAGAATTTTCATTCTAAATTTACGGTAAAATAACCGAAAAGTTCACGGTAAAGAACATTTTTTACTTATACGGTTTTGAAACCGTTTACAACTAGAATAGTTAAAAATACCATGAATACAGCACTATAATGTTTTCAAACCATTTACAACTTGCATGGTTTCACAACAGTAAAAAGGAAATTTAACTGGACATTAGAGTTAAATTTTTCGGCGGTAACAGGCGTTGAGTTAGGCTGTGGTTGAGTTGTGTTTAAACAAATGAACCATGGAATGTGGTTAAATTAATTTATCTAGTTTTTCTCCTATAGTAAGAGATGGGAAGTACGAATCTTTTCTATGATAAGAAACTTTATAATGCAATTCATCTATGCGTGATTGAAAGTATTCTAATACTCCAGGGTCATACGTTGAGGTGTGCAGGGCACTGGAATCTCTTCACGTGTTAAAGGAAACGAAGGAAATATTGTAAAGTCAAAGCTGAGATTCTGACACTCATGAGATTGACAGATTAGCTCTCTCGTCAATAATATGTACCCAGTTACAAGCTACTAAATGGCTTCATTAAGTGGGTCGAGTTGGTGCGATAAAATTCTGGTTGTTTGACCGTATTAGTTGAAAGCTGTTAATGGTTTTTCTCACAGTTCACAGTTTAAATACCATTTTATTTATGGTTATTTGACTGCTTTGTTAGAATACGGTTGTTGATTTTTCAAAAAAAAAATTTTAGCTGTGTAAGTACGGTTTCTTTTGTTTTTTGCAAAAAAGATTTCTAATTTTTCGTAATTATACAATTTTTTAGGTAATATTTTTGCTTATTACTAATTTTTCGTATTTATTTGGAAGAAACAAAATAGTTGTGTCTATCATAATGCAGTACTTACATAGTTAATGTTTATATTTGAATAACACAGTTCAAGTTAAAATGGTCGGTAACAGAAAAAAATATTCACTTGACATTATCCACTTTAATGGATAAAAGACGAATTTTGATATCATTTGATGAATTTACTCTTCGATTATTCCTTATAATATACATTCTTTTTATAATTATTATGGAATAGAGATGGGTAAAAGACAAATTTGATATCATTTGATAAATTTCTCCTCTTATTATTCCATATTATGTACATTCTTTTTATAATTATTATGGATAAAATATGGAGAAAAGACAATATAGGTAAAAGACGAATTTTGATATCATTTGATTGAATTTCCCTTTCCATTTTTCCGTATTAAATGCTTTCTTTTTATAATTATTCATTGCAATTTAGTAACTATCATCAATTTTAATCATTATAGAATAGAAACTTCACTAATGATTTATAACGTTTAATCTTCATAATAAATCCCTTTTCAAAGTAATGTCATTCGGTCGAAATTTATTTTAATAATCTGTATTAATCAAAACTAGTAATTCTTAAACAGTAAAAGAATAATCAATGTTATTTTCGAACATTTTATAGCTACCGGAGATCAAAGACTTTGGCATATTTTTATTTCTTTATTTTATAAAATGGCAGATTTTGATAACTGGTAAAAGCAAATCGGCAAGCGAGAGATTTCTAAATTCATTATTTTCAAACTAATTGAACTAATTTTACTAACTGATTAATTTAAACTAAGGTAAAGTTAAACACATTCCAAACAACACTTAGCTCACTCTCTCTCTCTCTCTCTCTCTCTNATATATATATATATATATAAATAATTTAAAAATAAAATCAGAAAATACCATCTCCTCCATACAGTTAAGCTAAGTTATTTATTTTATTGCATAAAATACACGTCAAATGTTTTCTTTTTATATTACATCTACTTTTTGATTTAGGCTTTAAAAGATACAATAATGATTATGTTTTCTGTAAAACAAGTTTAATTAAATACTAAATCAGAATTTTTAGTTTTAAGTAATTCTTTATAAAGCAAAATAATTAATTAATTTAGTTTCTCTACTGTTATAATTCGCGTGCTTTTATGATCAGTGATGTTTAAAAATCAATAATTTTTTACTCAGATACATTAACTTTGTTCATATGAGTTTGCTTTCTTTAAGATCAAATTAAGATTAAGATTTAACTTTTAGCTCCTAAGTAAGTTTTGATAGAGCAAAGCAGCTAAAAAAAAATAAGCATACGATTGTTAGATAACGCATATTTGTTACAATTTCTAAACAAGTTTGAAAATTCTGTATTGATTTGTTGAAATAAGCAAGTGCATTAACATAATTTATTTGAATGTGTTTTATTTGAGATTAAAATGAAGATAAATACAATTATTTTCAACTCTATGTGAGCTTTAATAATATAAAATAATTAATATGTAATAGACGTATGATAATTATTAAATATAACGTGTTTTTTTAATAATTTATTTTTATTATTATTATTAAATAAATGTCTCATTAAAGCCATAAAAAATTAAACTCAGTTACTGGTGAGTTCTTTACAAAGCTAAGTATTTAATAAAGATTTGTTTCATGTGCAATTATTTAACACTTACATATCAATGAGTTTCATATACAAAGATAAAAGTTATTGATTTATTGTATTTTAAAAGTGTTAACTGATTTTTTTTAATTATATAAATTTGTTCCATCTAAACTAGAAATGACCATCACATCATTATTCTCAGGCTTATATTTATATTTACATTTTAATATGTATACATTAAAAAATTTAAAAAGAATTATTCTTTTTCCGTTAACTATATTCCACTAGCTATATTAAATACCTTTTTTTTTCGTTCAAATTGATCGATTTTCTTTTTTTCTTTTTTTTCTTCCCGTTTTAGAAAACGATATATTCTACAATAATAATAAATTTCCATTCTAGATGTAAATGAAATAAAACAGCCATAAAAACTACCTCAGTCTTATATTCGACTATTAAAAAATTTATTAATTGTTGAGCATCAAAAAAATTTTAAATATTTCATTTCTCAAACTTTGACTATATTTCCTTAATCTGCAAAAATGAAAAGATATTTTAACAAACAACCTTATCCATCTATTACATTCGGTTAAAAATAAATTAATTAATAAATTTTAGATTTAATTTTGAATTCCACTATACATTTATTAGTTCTCCATACTTTGTTGCCATCACATCAAGTATATTTCAATATTCAAATATTCAAAGAAATTCCATATAAAATGAATTCAAATATATTCCTTATTATTTGAATTCAAAACAATATATGAAGGAAAAAATTTTTATCTAAATTTATTTCTTTAAATTATCTATTTATAAAATTCTTAGTTAATGAAACAGCTAAATTTCAAAAAAAATTAACATCAGTTTTCAATATATTGTAAAATAACATTGTGCTCATAATTTATCAAAGACTAACAAATTATTGAACTGAATAAAAATATTATTTTTATTCAATTATTATTATTTAAAATTTTTTAAATTTATAAAGCTTTCAATAGTTTGGAAGTTTTGATTTAAATCTTCAATGTTTTGTTTTTATCACATTATAAATAAACAATCTAAGTCCCAAAGGCGGGACATCATAAAAAGGGGGTGTATTAAGAAGGGTTCTCCGTAGGCTCAGTACCTGTCAATCAAATAGAGTGGGGGAAGTGACTATGATGAATAGGTTCTCCATGATTGGTTACTACTTTGGAAAGGGTCAATAACGTAAGAGCTTTGGCAGTTGTCAATGGATCAATAAGAGGATCTTTAACATTCTTTTACACTAATTTTAGCAGGAAAATACAATGCGTATAAAACGGTTTGACTTGCATTATTTTGACTTACAATTATAATATTTGCTTAGCCAATCATAGGGTAATGAGCTATCACTGTCTATTCCTATTCGTTGATCAATGATAGGTTCCGATTACTTAAGAACATGCATAGCTAATAATTTAATTTATGAGAAAATTAAAAGGACTTATTGTTATTTCTTTTATTTATATTCATTAAAAAATGCTCAAAATCATTTTTTAATTAAAAAAAGACACAATCAATGTCTTTTAACTTTTTATATTTTAAAGTTTATCATTAAATATAATAAAAACTTTCCATTAAATATTCGAATTACTAATAATTATATTATTAATAATTTAAAATGATTACTAATATATATTCAAGTTTAAATTTAATTTTCAAAGAAGAGTTTTTTGTAAAAGCATTTATCACAAGATATTAGATTAACGCATTTAAGTAAATATTTAAAATTAAGTTTAATCTTAATTGAAAATAAAAATTTATAAACCAACAAATTTTCTAACATTTCCAAGATAAGTGAAAAGCTAACTTTGAGCTGATACAAGATAATACTTACGTCAGCTTCCATAACTGCCTAATTAGAACATATTTCCTTTCAAATTCTAATTATAACCCAAAGAAACTTTTAATTGGTAGTAACAAAAACTAATTAAGTAAAATATTCGAAAAAGAATACCACAAAAAGATTAAATAATTAACTACCAAACATTAAACAGGTATATCCACAAAATTCGAATGAGCTTAAATTATTACGGTCGTAAAGTTATGGCTACGGGGATCACAGCCGTAATGCAGTCTTCAAAGGAATCATAAAATCAATAAGACGCATAGGCAGGGCTGAGGGATGTTCGAATAAGAACAAAATCCCTACCGACTCGAAAGTTCAAAATCCATCGGAATTCCTAACTACTATGATAGATTCTTGATCGCGACGGTAACCCCAGCGGCAAAAAAGGCCGCCCAATTTAAGAACTTTAATTATTAATTCTTAATAAATATAAAAGAACATTTAATGGGTGCCTTTCGAACATAATGCTGCCGTCAGAGCCGCCATTCTTTGAAAACGATTCAAGCGGGGAAGCCGACCGCCATCTTTGTTGTCTCCGCGCCAAAACGTTCCGGGTTGTGAAAATTTTACTAGACGACCCCCCTTCCGAACTTGTCATATTTTTGTTCGTTTTTTTAATGATAAGGAAAAGTGGCCGGTAGTGTTACTTACCAAGGGTCAGAGGTTGACTTGTTAGGATAATTCGTTCTAGAAGAAGCAGAATTTGAGAAGGTGGTTTCTTCGGACCTTCTGTATCGGTTGGGAGCTGAAGCTGTGCCGATTCCGGAGCAGCGGCAGGCGCATGGCGCCGCAATCCTGCGCACGAAAAGGGAAGGAGCAAGCGGGCGCCGTGTGCGAATGCAATCTATATTCATAAACGCCAACAACGCAAAAGCATTTTTCGTTCTATTCTCAACCCCCCCTACAATGCCCCCTTACTTTTTCGCTTTCACTCTATAAATGGCGATTCTCTTAATTATCATAATATGCTGATGAGTTTAGCGCAGAGAGAAAGTTTTCGCTTTAATGAAGGTACACTTTTCTCAATTTTTGGAAGAAGAAAAAAAAGGATTTCTTATCTTAATTTCTTTTCCATCGTTTTTGATAATCGAAGGAGAAATGTGAAAAGTTTTGTTCGGGAATTCGGAATAAAAATATGCATCCCTTGAGTTTATCTTCCTTTGGAATATTTAAACAGAGGCGAAGCTTATTTTGGTGCAACCAAAACATTTAGTTGTCCTGGTGGAATAATTTGCATGGAAAGAATTATCGATTATGCTTATCATTTGATGAGAGTGTCGAGTACAACAAGAGGTTAAGCAAAAGTAGGGTTAAAATATGATAATGTTTGCAAAGAATATGGATCAGAATCGAATCTATAGAAATATCTCTGGCTTAAGTAATTTTGCTTATTTTTAATAATTAATGTTTTTTAATGAAGCAAAATTACTTGAATACAAAAATAGGAGCCATTTTCCAAACGTGAATCCAGAAAGCAGATGTCATGTTTCAGAAAAAAAGCGATTTATAGATTCTTTCCTATTTTTGAAGCGTATGAAGTTTTAAATCAGATAATAACTATATTTATTTGCATCTTCTTAAACAATCTGCTCTAGTAATAATATGAATGTTGGTTAATTCTATTTCCTTTCAAAATCAGCTTACTCTAAGTTTCTACATAAAATCTTCAACTAAACTCAATCAATATTTTTTTTTTAAACTCACACTCTAAATGTCGCATTCGAAATTCCTTCGTAACATTGTCGTTTGACAACTCGCTCGCGACATTTTTACTTCACATCATTCCACAATTTTTCTCATGCAACAACTCATGCTCTAAACTCACGCACTATATTTTCAACTCATTCTCACAAATGTGAAATGTGTATATTATACAGATCTATATTCGGAACTGTTCAAACTTTCTATTTCTCTAATAATATGAATACTGGTTAATTAGACTTCCATTTAAATTAACACAGTGTTAATCCATTTTCACTAAAATTTCAACTCCCTTACTAATTTTTCAATAATATTTTTTTTTCTCCAATTCATACTCTAAACTAGCTCACATTCATAATCTATCACCCGCACTCTAAACCTAATCACTTTTTCAACTTTTAATCCAAATTTGCTCACTTCACCTCAGATCCTAAATACACAATCTAAAGTTACTCACATTTTCAACTCATAATCCAAAGTCATCCAAATTATTTATATTAGGAGTTCTCTGACTTACTAACTTATGTATATTAACTTCATATTTCCAGTCTTCTTAGTATCAGCAAAAATTCAAACTGAACTTGTGTACTATTTTAACTATCTACTTTAGCCCTCTAAACCTAATAACTTTTTCAACTTTTAATCCAAACTTGCTCACTTCACCTCAGATCATAAACTCACAATCTAAAGTTACTCACATTTTCAACTCATAATCCAAACTCATTCAAATTATTTATATTAGGAGTTCTCTGACTTACTAACTTATGTATATTAACTTCATATTCCCAGTCTTCTTAGTATCAGCAAAAATTCAAACTGAACTTGTGTACTATTTTAACTATCTACTTTAATTTTTCATTACTGTAATATTTATTTTGATTTTAAACTCGCTAATTAGTTTAAATTTACTAGATTTTATTTATTAATTTCAACAAGAACGTTATTTAGATACTATTAAAATAAACGTTGTCTGTTCAATTTCTTTCTCCTTTTTCTTTTCGTTTTTTTTAATTTTCATTAAAAGGCTTCTATTTTAATTTGAAGAATTATTCCTTTAATTTTAAGTAATATTGATTTTAATTATTATTTCTTCAAAAATTGTAAGTGTCATTCAGAAATACCACTCAGTACCATGATCTTGGGAAAATTTTATGTAATTTGTAAAAAGAAAAAAAAATTACTGGAAAATTAACTGTCCATGCGATAGGGGTATCAATCGCCAAATAAAAGAATTAAAAAATGCGACGGGAAAGAAAGTAAAGGTGATATTAAAAGAAGAATATCTTATTACATTTATCTCATATGTTTCTAATAAACAAGCGTAAAAAATATAAATCATTAAAAACACATTATTAGAAAATATGGGTGACAATATTCTTTACCATTACTGCTGTTTTTATATAATAACTCTTGCTTTTTTTTTTTTCTTTTTTTTTTTTTTTTTTTTTNTTTTTTTTTTTTTTTTTTTTTTTTTTTTTTTTTTTTTTTTTTTTGTTACCTCTAATAGACTTATATTTAGAATTCTTAATTTTTTAACCGAAATCCTTTTATATTCGTGTCAAATTTCATATTATTAAGTTTCACATTTTATAAAAAATTCTATAAAAGTTAAATTAGATTATATCCTTACATTATATTTTTTGGTTAGAATAATAGTGCCGCAAATACTGAAACTAATTATGTTCACAAGGTCTGTAAGCGGTGAGATTTAGGAAACTGGTAACCTAATTTGTACCATCTGCTCACCAAATCGTATTAAGCGGAAAAATATTGATTATTTATGATTAAGTGAATAATATGTAAACTAAAGTAATTAAATTTTGGAGCTGTTATAATTATAGTACCAGAGTATTATAAAACTATTAAATATTGACGGAACTTGTGTTACAAAGATTAAGCGCGACTATTTTAAGTGCTGCTTTTTGCGATCTATTACCTTACTTTTTTCTTTAATTTTAGATCGATTTAGATCGTTCGATTAAAGCCTTCAACATAGAAGGTACGGTAACAGATCGGTCTATTATCTCACATTATACTAACCGATAATTACTTGATTAAAAAGAAGGCTCATTCCTTAGATGAGTTTCCAGATTTTAATTAAATAAGGAAAATAAATCTTATCGTTAGGATGTTAAATTTCATTGAATCTACTGAAACAGTTTTCTTTCCGATTGCTTCTAGTATGGATGGAGGTTTTCGATTCTCTCCTTTTCTCTCTCTCTCTCTCTCTGTTTCTCTCCCTCTCTCTCTTAAGAAAGAATCCTGCTTAACTAAAAATTTAAGAACCAGAATAGTAAATCTTTTGAAACAAAATTCTCAGAGAGTTGTTCAGACGTATAATTTTAAGCCTAACTCAATTTGCTATCGTTTTGAAAGTTAGCCCCAAAAAAGGTTTATACCCAATTTTTGGCAGATTAGGTGCAGTTACAGTTAAATTGGCTGATTGTTCAGTACTTGAAATTGATTCGTTATTCCTGTTTCGTACCGGTGTGATTATTTTGGACTGCACATGCGATACGATTTAGGCAACTGCGAAGCGTTTTAAACGGAGTGTTATTCGAAGCTTCAAATAGTTATCTAGCAAATAAACGCAACAGAGTAAGTAGCTTTACCCTTATCTGATACATTGAGCAATCTGAACATTGTTTTAGTTCTGCTAAATCTTTACAGAGAATGCTCAACAAAATTACATTGAAAGCTTGTAAAACAGTTTAATTAAAATAAAAACTTAGCTCAAGTACGCAGTGTCGTGACTTTTGAAAAGATCATCACGTCAAAAAAAAACCTGTATTCAATGCTTATTTTGAAATCAAAGATGATACGATACAACTTTTTTCTCGCTATTATATGATTTTTAAGTGAAAAAAAATATTCTGACTGCATCTGAAATTGTTCTATAAAAAACAAACAGTAATTAAAGTGAACTTTTGTTTTTGTAGAGAGTGCAATATCAGTATATTGTTTAATTATAATCGTTTAATTACAATTAATTCTACGTAAAATATATCCTCACTATCTGCTCTGAGCCATATAATCAATTTTGTAAAAACAAGATTTTTTTTAGTTTTATTTTTACTGTAATGATTTCTTAAAATTCGCGTACAGACTTTTCATTACAAATTAAACCTCGGAACCGAATTTTGCAATTTGAGCTTAATTTTTTGCTAGTTGAATAAAACATTTTTAAAATATAGTAAATTTTTCGCAAGTAGTATTAAATCTTCGCAGAATGGATTTAATCTATTTTTTTTAATCTATTATCATTATGAAGTAAAGTGAAATGATTCTTTTATAGATTAAAGCAATTTTCTGCAAATGAATTGATTAAAAAAAAACGGCAAATAAAACTACACCTTCATCAAAATAACTCTGTACTAAAACAAAATTAAACTAAATCTTTGAAATAACCTCAAATCTTTACGAACTGCATGAAATCTTTTCAAATTGCATCAAGCTTTTGCAAATTGCATTAAATTTTAGCAATTTGCATAAAATTTTTGAAAATTGCATTAAACTATTGCAAATTGAACCAAACCTTTGAAAACTGCTTAAAACTTTCGCAAATAGCATTAAACCACTGCAAATTGTATTACACTTTTTCTAATTGAAGACCATTAAAAATCCCATTAAACCTTTAAAGTTTGAACTAAGTTTTTACAAGTGAAAACAACCTTGAAAAAATTCCCTTAAGTTTCTGAAAATAGTTCAGAATCTTAGTATATTGCATCAGCTGTTTTTAAATTCAAACAAACTTCTTCAAATTAAAAAAAACCCACCGAATTTCATACCGAACCCTTGACAAGAAAATGTATTAAAAGTTGCAACAAATCTTTGAAAGTTTAATAAAATCGGCCAGGAATTGAAATAAATATTTTAAATCTCAATTAAACTTCCGTAGAGTTAAATTAAGCTTTTCGTGAAAAAAAGTTCAACAGAAAAAATTCATATTCACTTGCAAAACGTTCGAATTACTTTGAAAAAAGATTCAGTTTGAAGTACAAAGCTTAAAATTCTACATAGAAACCATATGACCTAACAGGTTGACATTTGGATGGCCCAATAGAGTGATTCAAACACAAGGGGTGGTCCAAAAGTAAAGATCAAAAGAGGATGCTTCTATCTCAAACAAAAATATGGGAGGTATGAAAGGCGTGGGCGTTTATGAATTCCCATCTCACAGGAGTGCGCCTAAATATTTAAATAGGACTATTCTGAGAAAAATTGGAATACCTGACAATTGGAGCTTGAAGGAAAAGGATCAATTGGGCGTTGGTCAAGTCGATCGCCCCAAAAATCGAATTCGATGAATATACAGGATGAACAACCCCCTTTTTGCAGCATCGATCGAAAAATGGCGTGTCGGACATGGGTGGGTATATGACGTTCTTTTTGGTCAGCAATGGGAAAATTGAATTCATTATGAAGTGGGGGTGGAAGAGGGTGTAGACGGGGCGCTATTTGGAAGAGAACATTAGGGTGATGGTGGTATCAAAAAGGAATGAGTGAAAGTTGTTGCCATGGGCACAGTGCAGAATTGTATGCACCTCACGTATCGGGAATGGTGCTAATTTAAATAATTAATATTGAACTATTTATATTTAATTTGAAAGCTTTGTTTAAAGCTCTACGATTAAAAAAAAGAAGTAGAAATTGCTTATAAGGCATTTCGTTTACTCTTAACTATGCCATAATGTAGTCTATGTATGTTTTAGTTTTCAATGAGGAAATTATTGCTGCGTTTTTTTTTAATTCATTGAATCGCAATATCGCTAAAATTGGTTACTCTTCGAAAATTGGAGCGTTTTGAATTATAATATCCATCAAATCGCTGGAACTTTAATTTGGTAAAAAGTGATTCTTCTTAGATTGTAATAAGTTGGTGGCGTTGTTTTTCATACAATCTTAATCAAATTTTGTAGAATAGTTGGTTATTTTTTTATAAGTGATGTGAATTCGGCGCACTTATTCATAATAGTTAGAGTATGTTTTGTTCGAACAGGTGCCCTCAATATTCCTAAAATAAACATAGCAAACTTTCAAGTCGGTTGCTCAGAGCTGCTGTGGCTTAGAGGCTAATGTACTTGCCTCCAAATAAGGTTTCGTCCAGAATCGAATCCCAGCGTCGGATGGTCGATAAGAATTCTGCTCTCGACTCGCTTCGATCACAGAGTTGCAATCGAATTTTTTCCTAAATGAAAGATGGATTACGGTTTAGAACACCCTTGCCGTTGGGCTAAGGGGTGAGTTTTTCATTGGCTAGTTCCACCTCAAAGACTAGTTTGTCACAATGCTCGATCCAAGACTTCCCTTGTCTCTTCGATTGGGTTCAAGATAACAAAGCTATGGAGATCATCAGTGATAGTCGTAAACCCGAAAATGGGTCGGCTTTTCAACGCCGGCTGTAAAATAAAATTGCATATGAAGCGAGAGCTGTGATCGCCCCGGGAGTAAAGCACCCGTATCTCAGTAAGGTGATCCAGCTTCGAATCCCAGCAAAGGACCGATAGAATTCTGTTCACAGATCACTCTGACGTAAAATATTTTCAGTGGTATTCGGACTGTGAGATAAAGTACCCGTGCCATTGGGCAAAACCGTGGTTGGTTTTCATGGTTTACCTCTTTAAGTAACTCAAACGTGGGTTAGTTTGCTCAAGAAAACTACCATGAAGACTAATTTGTCCCAATGCTTGATCTAGTAGTTCATTTGTCTTTTTTGATGGCTTAAAACCAACAACGCCATGCCATTGAACATTGATTGCCGTAAACTCAAAATAATTGGTTTGACTTGTTAAACACCAGTTAATGAAATATAAAGAGAATCTACCATTTTAAAAAATAGCAAGCGTATGCTACCTGATTTTTTTTTTTAATATTTAAAAAGATACCTCTTCATCGCATTGTTTCCTATGGTAAAAATATCTACCTATCAAAAATTATTTG